CCGGTGTGCCTACACTCATAGAAAATAATGTATTTGAATTTTAAAGATGTGGCGCAACGCTGCGCTTCTCGTCCGGTGTGCGACCGCCTGAAACGCTGTTTTTTTTCAACTCCGTGCCCAAACGGCTTCCGAAAGCAGATGATGTCAGGAAACAGTGGTTGCAGTTTATTTTTTAACTCTGTTCCTGAGCATTATAACCCCAATTTGCTATTGTGTGCTGTGCATTTTACTGAGGACAGCTTAACACGAGTGAGTACTAGTGCCAGATTCGCCAAAAGCTTTTGTTGAAAGACGGCGCAAGGGGCGTGGCAGTACTGAAACACCGTCTAAGCTGTTCGCCAATCACAACGCACTGGGACAGCTAACCAATCATAACACATTTTGTTTTTCGGAAGGCGGACCTTCATCAAAGCTGGAACTAATCGATCCGTTTGTGGCAGGTTGGGGGGAAAGGTATTTTAATAATGTAAATGTGAAAAATTATGCTCATGCTCTCACCAAGCATGAGAGCATGTTCTGGTACACCCCCAAAACAAAATCAAGACTTTGTAAACGAGCATAATAGGACCCCTTTAAAACCACTATTGTCTGAAATCTGGGTGGCCCATCTGACTGCCCAGAGTAAATTTCCAATAACTTCATTGCTCAAAAAGACTCAATCCCACACAAACCCTCATAAACAAACCTTGACATTTGATGATGCTTCAGTACGAGCATGTCCACAGCCTCACTAGCCTCTCGGACCTGCTAGATGTTGCCTTAGATGGATGCGATATTTCAAACAGCACCGAATCCCAGAATAATCAGATCTTATTTCAATACCCAGTCAGGTCCTGAGTCATAATACATATCTAATGTAAAATCGTGTTATTGAGAGCCAGACTTGCGCCTTACAAATAAACAATTCATAATTATGCTAGAGCCTGCACGTCCCTGATGGCCTGAGAAAAAATGTGCCGCTCTCAAATACTATCCCTTCCTCCTAATAACTCCTGATAATAATTCACATGGCTGCGGAGGTGTAGAAGTGGGCTGATCAGAACGGCAACGGTGAGCCGATCCAAGAGACTTGATCAACAATGGCTGCAATGTAAACCTGTCGCTGTGGAGACGTTGTCTTTTCCCCGGTAATTACTGTCAACATGCGTAAACACACTTGTGCGAAATCAGCCTCATAATCAGATGAACCGATGGGTACGAGTGTTTGTAATATTGCTCCATCGGGGATGTTGATTTACTGCTTTCAATGCCAATGAAAACATTTTCAAAGAGGCGCGACACGCAAACACGAATGGGACGAGTGCCAAAACAACATCAACATCATCACGGTCATCAGCAGTGGCAAACGCTTCATGTTGCCCAAGATAATTTACTCTCATTTTCAGCACTTTCAAAGCCAAAGACTTCATTAAACATCGTATTACACAAACAACCTATACAATCAAAACAAGGATGTTGAATTTCTTAATTAAAATTGTGTTTCGGGGCTGTTGATTGACAAATGCAAGAACTGAATGCTGTTAAGACGATGCTTAAACTCACTAAACTTGTACAAGAAAGAAAGAAATTTTGGCTTATTTATCATACACATTTATCATATTTCCCTCAATCTCATTACTATAATGCTGCAAAAAGAGATTATTATGAAGGTAAAATTATAAAATAATGAGCCCATTTTGTTTAAATGACAAAGTGTGTTTACATCATGTCAGTATTCAATTCAAGTATATTAACAAAACATCATATTTATCATCATTTATCATCTTCATTCTCATTACTGGACTGCTGGAAAAAGCTATTACTATAAATGTGACCCTGGACTTCATTTGGACAACTTTATAGGCAATTTTCTCAATATTTGGATTTTTTTGCACCCTCAGATTTCAAATAGTTGTATCTCGGCCAAATATTGTATAATCTAAAAAAAATGTCCCTTATGACAATTTATACAATAAAATTATATAAACACTTAAATTACAAATTGTGTTCATAATGGCACCATTAATTAACATGACATAGTTATCATATTTTTCACATCATATGTATCAGATTTCCTTCATTCTGTAATGCTTGAAGATAAATGTAAAATGATAAAAATATATAATTACTCAAAATGGCAAAGTGTGTATACATCTTTGCAGTATTAAATTAAATGAAATGAAGTGCAATTCATGTCTGGATGCACGGCGGTAATAAGAATGTAAATAGAAAATGTGCTTAATTGTGTTAAAATAATATTACAATGCAAAATATTTTTAAAAAATAGACAGAACTGTCTTTATGCAAAATATTATTCCATATTTATTTATTTATTTTTATGTAGTGTTATATACTGTAGAAGAGGACATGCCCTCTTATAACCCTTCCCTTTGCCTCAAAGGGATAGTTCACCCAAAAATGAAAATGTGATGTTTATCTGCTTACCCCCAGGGCATCCAAGACGTAGGTGACTTTGTTTCTTCAGTAGAACACATATGATGATTTTTAACTTTAACCGTTGCAGTCTATCAGCCGTATAATGCATGGCAATGGTAACAAAATCTATGTGAGTAAAAAAACCATGCACAGACAAATCCAAATTAAACCCTGCGGCTCGTGACGACACATTGATGTCCTAAGACACGAAACGATCGGTTTGTGCCAGAAACCGAACAGTATTTATATAATTTTTTACCTCTAATACACTACTATGTCCAACTGTCTTTGGGTGCGCGCACGGCATCCGGTGCGTGAGGTCTGTTCGCGCTCTGGCGTAGTGTACGCACTCTGGCGTAGTTTACGCAAACGCCAGAAGTGATCTCTCGCGCGTATACGTCACTCATTGTTTACACCGTGCACAAACATTGTAGGTATGACGGCTAATCAAAATGGTACTTACTTGCGCTTATTCGGATTGTTCAAACCGACTTAAAACTAAAAGATTACGTTCTCTCGCGCGAACTCATTCGGGAGTGGTGACTTTCCACGTATTCCCAACTTCTGAGCCTGCTCGCCTGAAGTTATGGTTGATTGCTCTTCGGCTGGACATCAACACACCCATTAACATAAACTACGCCAGAGCGCATACACACCTCACGCACCGGATGCCATGCGTGCGCCCAAAGACAGTTGGACATGGTGGTGCATTCGGTTTCTGGCACAAACCGATTGTTTCGTGTCTTAGGACATCAATGTGTCGTCACGAGCCGCAGGGTTTAATTTGGATTTGTCTGTGCATGTTTTTTTTACTCTCATAGATTTTGTTACCATTGCCATGCATTATACGACTGCTAGACTGCAACGGTTAAAGTAGAAAATCATCATATGTGTTCTACTGAAGAAACAAAGTCACCTACATCTTGGATGCCCTGGGGGTAAGCAGATAAACATCACATTTTCATTTTTGGGTGAACTATCCCTTTAAGAAACATATTCAAAACTGAAGAATGATTGAGATATATGAAGTATATCTCAGGTTTACAAAACAAATCAAACATCTGCCACTGTTCACGGTAATTCAGCGGCCTTGCCTAGAGGAAAGAATATCTTTGAGTTCATTCTGCCATAAAGAAGAGGATGTTTCCTCTTCATACATCGCAAGAGAGCAACAAAACACATACATCAGACACCCTTTCATGGATTTTCCTGTTCAAAGGAGTGTGGTGAAGAAAAGCTTCTTTTAAGTCTTTGTCTCTTGAAGGAGATGGGAATATATAGACACAGGTCTAAAGAATCTGGAAAGACTGTGGTTTTCAATTAAGATGCAAAAGATGGCACAAAAGATAGCGGTTCAAATACTACAGATTTTGTGCTTTTTCCTCATGTTGTGTATTATGACACCCGATCATATATCATTTTACGCCAAAAGCCTCATCTACATCATATACACAGGCGGAATTTAATTAATTACTTGGAGAAAATGGCTGAATATTCATAACACTGAATATTGATTTGGGATTTAAAATAAAATGAAGTAACCCTAAGATAAAGCGTGCTCAGTTAAAGGAACATTCACCCAAAAATACTGGTCATCATTCACTCATCCTCATGTGAACGGAAACGCTCCTAGCTGTACAAGCTTGATTTCATGCTTTGTTGCTTTCTGAAATGTGTAACATTAAAGGGATAGTTCACACAAAAATGAAAATTTTTTGTCCATATACCTTTAAAAATGTGCCTTTCGGCAAAGAAAGCTCCAGGGTTACATTTTCTGTAGATCAGTTTTGATTAAGGCATCCGGTACATTACTATTTCCAACAACAAATTATGTGCCCAAGTACATAAACATTGTCCTATAAAAAGTAACATTATCCTTATTTCTGCATAATTTCTCTCACAATATAGCCTTTAATTCTTTATTTAGTGCCTTTCAAGTACTTCACTTTTCTAAAGCATTACAGGAGACAAATATGAGACCCCCAGATTATTTAGCTAAAGAGAAAAATCTAAGCACAGTGTGTGATGTTGTTGAGATCACTAATCTAAACTTTTGAGGAGACAAATGTGAGAGATCCAGAGTCTCTAGCTAAGGAGAAAAATCTGAGCACAGTGTGTGATGTTGTTAAGATCTCTTCTAAAGCTTTAAAGGAGAAAAATATGAGACCACCAGAGTCTTTAGACTAGGAGAAATATCTGAGCACAGTGTGTGATGTTGTTGAGATCTCTTCTGGAGCTTTAAGAGAGACAAATGTGAGAGATCCAGAGTCTCTAGCTAAGGAGAAATATCTGAGCACAGTGTGTGATGTTATTGAGATCTCTTTTAAAGCTTTAAAGAAGACCATTGTGAGAGTGTTATGTCTCAGGAGACAAGTTTGAGAAGCAGGAGACTCAAGCAAAAATCTCCATTTGATCTTAAAGTAACCTCATTTCTGTCTAGGAGAAATATTTGAGATGTTAAAGAGATCTCACTTTTGATTTTTCTTTTCTATGGGGTGTCCAACGTTATGAAGAGCAATATATTAAAATCCATTACCATTCTGGATATCAACTTGCAGACGACCCTGTATAATTAACCCTCTTCCTAATTTAATAAAGCACATTTCTGGCTTTATACTGTCAAGTTTTAAAAATGACAAGTCCATATGACTGTGCACTACTTGCGAACTCTTCTTTCTATTTGTGACGCTGGACTACAAAACCAGTATTAAGTCGTTGGGGTATATTTGTAGCAATAGTAAAAAAAAAAAACATTGTATGGGTCAAAATTATCGAATTTTCTTTTATGCCAAAAATAATTTGGATATTAAGTAAAGATCATGTTCCATGAAGATATTTTGTAAATTTCTTACCGGAAATATATCAACTTATTTTTTGATTAGTAATATGCATTGCTAAGAACTTCATTTGGACACCTTTAAAGGCAATTTTCTCAGTATTTAGATTTTTTTGTACCCTCAGATTCCAGATTTTCAAATAATTGTATCTCAGCCAAATATTGTCCTATACGCACCATACATCAATGGAAAGCTTATGTATGCTTCCAGATTATGTATAAATTTCAATTTAAAAAAAATTTACCCTTATAACTGGTTTTGTGGTCCAGGTCCTTTGTGCTTTGCAAATGTATGCAAAAAATATAACATTAAAACTACCCAATATTTTGTTTGCTACATGTTTTATGTTTATTGGACTACTAGAGTATCACATCACTGGCTTATCAACTAGAAAAACAGTTTAGGAGACTTTCTTTAAAAATCATTTCAATGGCTGGCAAAGAACAATGGACATTTTCTACATTAAGAAAGAACATTGTTACTTGAAATCACTGTAAATGTGTGTGTTTGTGTGTATTTTGACCTACCTGCCTGCTTGTAGAACACCAGATATTGTGAACAGGCCAAAGTCGGTGATGACCACTTTCCCATTGTCATAAAATACATTCTTGGATTTCATATCTTTGTGAAGGATCCCTTTGGCATGTAGGTAGCCCATGCCCTGAAAAAATTGTGTTAATGTAATTAGGGCAATTACATGTTTTTGGTCTACTGCTAATTCTGTCTAGATTTTTTTCTAAGTCTAATTGCAATTTTTCTGATAAAAACTGATCACAATTTAAAATGCGGTTTCAAAAAGCTCCAGGTCTGCTGTGTTGTTTGTAGGGCTGCACAAATTGGCCCAAAGTTATAGATTATACATGAATGACTACAATAATAATCATCATCATCATTTTATTTTACATTACAATAGTAAAATAGTAATTGTTATTGTTGCAAAGCAAACGGAGCTGCTCTGAAACATTAAAAACACTGAATCATGAGCTGCTAGCTTGAAAAGGAACACAGTGCCACTCTTCACTCTGAAACGCACTCTGCGTGTATTTATTTAATTAAATCACAGTCTTTGTGATATGATAATTGTGTAATTTCAGTTTTATTCGGATTCATCGTGCAGCCCTAAATGTAATCACATGCTGTATATGTGAAGGAACAGCACATGTACAGGTAGATATGAAGGCTTCCCGACACTGACATGTTTTGCAAATTAACTGCTATACACATGTGAATCAATTTTAGCTGACATTTAACGAACAGTCTTCACATTGACTTCACATCAATTACTCTTACCTTCACCATCTCTTGTGCGATTTGTCTAGTCTTGTTTACGTCGAGAACGACTTTTGCATCTCGAATCACTGAGTAGAGGGTCCTGCCCTTACACAAACTACAACAGAAGAACAAAAAAACACATATTAGGCATCAGCAGCAACCATAACATCAAAATATGTCCAGTTATTTTACAGCTCTTTGTGCAGATTGTAGGTTTTCAAAACCATCTTTGCAGAAAAAAAGAATAGCATTTCAGGTGCAGATTCGGTATATAAAAACAACTCACTCAAATATGAATCAAATAAACATTTGACTATTTTTATAATTTACTGGCAAAAATACTGTACTAGAAGCTCTAAAAATAAAGGCAGTTCAATTAAAATGAAATAATATCATGAGATTGATTACTGATGTCCATGTGAAAACGATTTGCCAATAAGGTAAGAAAAATAAACTTGATTCACAAAATATTCTCTGAATTATGCTACTTTTTTTTTTAGAGAGTTTTACCAGAACTTAAAAAATACTGAAAAAAAGTCAGAGCTGCATTTAAATATGGGCTATATTAAATATTATATTATTTGTTGGCGCCGATAGCCTCGTGGGCTTTCCCGACCCCATCCCCTCTCTATCTCCCACTTCGCTTCCTGTCATCATACTGTCCTATTGCAAAAATAAATCTTAAAAAAATATGTATATCATAATATTTATTAAATACTGTATTTTGTGTGTTATATTATTATTAATATTAAAATGCCTATCTATCTATCTATCTACAAATAATATAATTCAGCAAAGATGCATCATTAAATTGATCAAAAGTGACAGTAAACTATTTCAAATAATTGCTCTTATTCTGAACTCTCTATGATTAACAATATCATAGTCAAAAATAAATATTAGATTATAAAATGAACAGTTAAAAACGAAGATATATACGTAATATATTTAATACCTTATTCGATCCAAGAAACTAAACACTTTGATTCTAGAAAAGGAAAATAAAAGTTGAATCCTCTGTTGAAATCTTTTATTGGCCGTGGCCATGCAGCACAGCACCTTTTTGCAGATAAACAAACAGGAAGCCCAATTTGTGTGGCAGGAGGAAGGAAATAATATTGGCTGTCTCCTGTTCAGACAGGATGTTTTTCACAAACCTCTCCGTTCGTGGCTTCAGAGAATTCTGAGAAGTGAAAAAATTCAGCCACTTATGTTTACATTTGTGGTCAAAGACATGTCGTTTTAAATTAGGCTGAAAGCAGCCACTAATGCAAGCTATGAGGTCATGCTGATTAGAGAAGGTCAGGAAAAGTGAGTCAACTTTAAGATACAGTCATTAAGCTTAGTACACATGCACCGGAAACTCTGGGAACCCAACGAACATTGTTCAAGCTTACGTGGTGATGATGGCCAGATGAGGGGGTCTCATACATGCTCCCATGAACAGGACCACGTTTTCATGCCGTGTGTTCCTGTACGCCATCACCTCTCTTTTAAACGCTTTCAGCTGTTCTTCATTGTCTCTTTCAATGTCGATTAGCCGTATGGCCACTTCTCCGTGCCAGCGTCCGTGGTAGACCTGTCCAAAGCGACCTTTCCCGATCAGCTCTCCGATCTCCAGCTGCTCCATGGGAATGTCCCACTCCTGCAGGAAGATGCTGGTCTGGCTTGCCTTACGTGGGAAGTTCCGTGCACACAGGAGGGAGAGATTCATCTCCTCGAACTCGTCTGCTGAACCCTCGGCCTCATCATTGCCTTCCTCGTTCTGATAGATAAATAGAACGATAAATATAACTGTAGAACAGCAGACAGAAAGATGAATGGATGGATGGATGATAGGTAGATGCATAGGTGGATGGATGGAATGATGGAGTAATAGATAGATAGACAGACAGACTGATAGATAGATAGATAGATAGATAGATAGATAGATAGATAGATAGATAGATAGATAGATAGATAGATAGATAGATAGATAGATAGATAGATAGATAGATAGATAGATAGATAGATAGATAGATAGAATGGCAGAGTGATGGAACCATGTATTGACAGAACGAATGAGAAAACGATAGATAGTGAGTGTTGGAACGATAGGACATCAGACAGACAGAACAATAGTTAGACAGATAGGTAGAACAAAAGAATGGTGGAGCGATGGAACCATGGAAGAATGAGAGAATGATAGATAGTCAGTGATGGAACGATAGGACGTCAGACAGAGAACAAAAGATAGACAGAACAAAAGAAAGGTGGAGTGATGGAACCATGGAAGGATAGAACAAATGACTGACAGACAGACAGACAGACAGACAGACAGACCGACACTGTAGATTAGACAGAAGACAGACAGACAGAAAGATAGATAGATACTGTAGATTAGACAGACAGACAGACAGACAGATAGATACTGTAGATTAGACAGATAGATACTGTAGATTAGACAGACAGATACTGTAGATTAGACAGATAGATACTGTAGATTAGACAGACAGACAGACAGACAGACACTGTAGATTAGACAGACAGACAGACAGAGTAGATTAGACAGACAGAGTAGATTAGACAGACAGACAGAGTGTAGATTAGACAGACAGACAGAGTGTAGATTAGACAGACAGACACTGTAGATTAGACAGACAGACAGACACTTTAGATCAGACAGACAGACAGACACTGTAGATCAGACAGACAGACAGACAGACACTGTAGATCAGACAGACAGACAGACAGACACTGACAGTCAGACAGACAGACAGACAAACAGACACAGAAGGTCAGACAGACAGACAGATACAGACAGATAGATACAGACAGATAGATACAGACAGACAGATACAGAGATAGACAGATAGACATTTCAGGAGTCTCTGATGAATTGAAAGTTCAAAAGAACAGCATTTATTTGAAATAGAAACTTCTGTAACATGAAAAAAGTCTTTACTGTCATTTTTTATCATTTAATGCAGGACATTTTTGGGGAGAGAAAAGAGAGAGAGAGTGGGGGGGGGGGAAAAAAAAGA